GTAAAGTCATGACTGAAGGTGCCCCTTCCCACCCAAGAGCCGCCTTCATCAAGTCAGTGCTCGACGTATCCTGTCTAATCCTGTCTAGAAAAAGCCTTCAAGGACTCTGATGCAGCTTGTGCTAAAGTGTCCGGAACAGATCATGCTGGAAATGGTTTCTCCTCACAGGCAATGAGGATATGTCCCATGAGAAGTAGGCAAATAACTTGACCCAGAAGGGTAGGTCAAAACTCGGGCACCCTTGCGTGACCCCTGAAATGAGTCAGATCCCTTCATTGGGGAATATTGGGGATGTCAACCTCCCATGGTTTGGTTGGGGAGGTTTTGATTCACAGCCATATTTAGTGTGTTTTTTGCACTGACCTTCATATCCCCCCAATCCTGCTTGGTTTTATCGTCCAATGGATGCACATCATCGCAAACTTCACCATGAGGACCTTTGTCTTTTTGGGGTGGACGATCCTGGCTGACGAACACAGTGCCGGTGGAAACGTGGCCCGAAGACTATACCTTAACAACAGACACGGATGAATCCAAAGCAACCGGATCCCCCCAGCTATTCAGCCAGTGAACTGACGCACGCATCACTGGTGGGAGATTCCTCTTCTGCAGGCCGCTCACCCTCCAACCACTCGCCCAGTTCCGAGGCAGTAGCAGATCCGATCTCCAATGCACCTGGGCCGAATGCGGGCAGTTGCTCATTTTTTCCACTCTCAGATGATGGCAAAAAGAAACGTGGAAACATTATTGCGCCCCCCAAGCTTCATGGTTTAATATATAGCATCAAGTCCACATCAGAAACAGTCGAAAACTATCACTGGGACCTCTTGGTATCATTTTGGCAAAGCAGATTGGTTTGGTGAAACATACCTTGTCCCAGAACCATAGTTTTGGCATGCAAAAGATCCCACTTGCCACATGAATCGTTGGAAGCTCCAGGGTGACATGAATCTTTGGAATTTTGCATGGATATAGAAGCCTGTTAGGGTTCAAATCCACCGTCCTGCTGGGTCTTCTGCGTGGGCGAGGTCCTCCCGCAGGGCTTTGACCATGGCCTTGATCTTGGCCATGTTCTGATCCCAGCTCCTGCAACATGGGTAAAAAATGAAAAACTCCATGTACATCACAGCCAGCCATAGCCCTAAGGGGCATTGTTTTTAGACAAATGCATCCTGCGTCCATGGTACACACCAAAGAAATACGACTACTAAACACATTAAACATAGTACCCGATCGCTCTCGATGGTTTCCCACATGAAGCATCCCAGTGCATCTTTAGATGGGGGCAGCAGAGTATCAGAGAATCCATCCCATTTCATATCACCGGCTCTCAAGATATATAGACTCCGTTCATGAAACCATCTCCTTGAAGAGGGGTTTTGAGCTGTCCGCCTTGTTGCATATTGCATCAGCCCCCTGTGTAGATTTGCGTCCCGCTCTGCCCAGGCCTGTCAGGAAATGAAACATGAACACATACGAACGCTCGGTATAAATGTATCGTCGTTCCCCCTATCCATCCCTATCCCCATTTACACGGCCGGGGCATATTCTACCTGCAACGTGGGCTTCGGACCCAACGCCTCCAAGCTCGTCGGATCAGAGACGCTCCCTGAGGCTGGACTCACCCCAGCTGAACCAGCGTGAGCCGGCAACAAGCCATGCCGCACAGCAACCTCTTTGCTGTGAAAACACGCAGTGGGTTTGAATCAACGCTCCTGAACAAAACCTTTTGTACAAATTCGGTAGCTGTAATGTATGAAACATGTGGATTCGGCTTCCATGACGTGCTTCCATGACATATCCACATCCGATGGAGGCCTCTGAAATCTGCCGCGATTTGATTCTGGGAAGATACGTGAGAGCTGTCCCGTCTCTGGATGCCGTGTGCATTCTACACTCTGTGTGACATGGTGAATCGATATAGGGGTATTGGGAATGGCTTGGCCCAAAGAAAAGCTCATCTTGCTACAGCCTGCCACATTAGGATGAAGATCGGTGTTGTTCTGGTAACATTTGGCGCAAGCCTTTCCCTTGGGGATACTTAGAAGCGCCACATGGGGCGATCCATGTGAACGAAACCGAGCGATGCGAAAAAAGACTGCTGATGCAATCGGGGTGCACCATTTCTGTGGTTTCTGACCAAAACGCAAAACATGGTGGAACCGTTTCTGTGGTGACCCCCCCCCCCATAGATAAAGGGGGGTGATGTTGGTCGAAGTTAGACATCCTCAAAGACTCCTGCAAGCCAGTCTTGAAGAACTTCTTGGAGGGTGGCCCAGCTCCTGCGTCCTTTCACGAAAACACCATCTGGGAACAAGAGCCTCGTCTGCGTCCATAACTGCATCTGTTTGAACCATCTTTGCATCTATGTCTATGTGTCAAAACCTTTTGCACTTCTTCGTGTGTTCTGTACTCGTCCATCTTCATATCTTTTGCCTTACCTGTATTCTGAGGAATGGTTGAAAGAAGCCATCCGCAAGTCTGAGGAGAAAGTCTTCAAGGAAGCGGTGTCGAGGGCAAAGGCAAATCGAGAGGCAGCTACGCACAATGTTCCCTGCATGAAGATGGAACTCAAGAGTTTCAGGATGGGCATGCGTGGTTGGCCAATGGGTGTCGCAGATCTCCGATTGAGGTGGACACTGACGTAGCCAGCCATGGATGGACAAACTGGGAGGTGAAGAAGGAGCCACTGACCAAGTTTGCAAATCTTCCAACCAGGCGCTCGACCACTATCATTGAACTGGACGCCCCATCGCCAGCCAAACGTCCTCGGATCACAACGTCCTTGCCTTCATTGCCTTCTATGCCTTCCTGTCCTGTCGTGAATCCTGGAAATGCCGAGTTGGGTCTTCCTGAAAATGATGAACCTGAAGCGATGGAGTTGGAGATGGCCATGGAGGAGTTGATGGATTCAATGGATGGAATACCACACAGGTGGGCGAAGCTCCCGATGATGAGTAGTCGACTACTTTCTGATGACATATCCAATTTTGTGTCTTTTGCTTGTGAGCTGCTCTTCGCTGCAATGATCACTGAATGACTGGGACAGTAGATAGTACTGACGTGTAGCTGTCCTGCATATGTCCAGCGCTGCTTCCATCGACCACATCTTCTCACGGAGAAAAAACGTGTTATGCTTACCAGCGCATGCAGTGTACAGTCTAAGATTTCAACCTCACTTCTGTCTTGTTGCTGTGTCTTGTTCAAGCTAATGTGCGCAATGTCATCTAAGAGTTCATACCTTGAGTACTACTTCTTCACGGCTGGAAGTTGACGTTCAGAATATGTCCCTTTCGTTGCTGCTTGTCTCTTGCAAAAACCAATTGTGTGATTTGACCACCTCTGGCTTCAGCTCGGTAGTCATCTAGCGCTGTTCCATTGCCGGTGTGCTTTGCCAGTCATGCCGAAACTTGCTATGAAGTATCGCAGCCCTTGGCCAGTACCGAAGAGAGGCAAGAGCCGGGCCCAGATGAAGCGTCCCTCGATTTGGTGTATCAGTGCAGGGCCTCATTTCAATGGGCCCGCGTGCTTTGCTCCGGCAGCTCTAAAAGGACAAGATGCTTCCGAAGTGGGCAGGAAAGACTTGTCCTCACTGTGGTGTGGGCAAGCTCGGCCTTTTGCGATTCTCGCAAGAGAGAAAGAATTGGACGCACAAATGCGGAGCCAGGTCGTGCAGAAAGTTCCTTCAGCCTCACGACTTCCACCCTATCTTCTTCCATGGTAGTGGACCTCATTCCACGCCACTAGGCCAACGAGCAGCTATTCTATGCTGCGCCCTTGCTGGTGTGCCAGTCTCTTCTGCTCCCATCATCAATATGAACCACAAGCCAGTTTCACGAATCTACGCGAATCTGGAGATGGCTCGCAGCCAGCATGTCCCCAAGAAGCAAAAGCACATCAAATTTGGAGCCAAGCACAAGTGGTGTAATGTCGAGGCAGATGAAGTGGACGTGAGCAAAGAAATGGAAATGCAGCAGAATACAGGCCGGTGGGAGCAATGGGGTGGCTAAGTGGAACGTGGGCATCCCACGACATTAGTCCTCTTCCGGCTCCCTTCAAGAGTCACTTCTGCGCGATCCCCTGGCCCAGGTCCCATCGCCAAAAGGGACTGGAAGCCTGTTGCCAAGAAGTTCCTGGAGGGCCGCAGCGTCATCTTACACACCGATGGCGCAAAGGCATACAAAACGAAGATCCCAGGTGTCATCCACGACAATGTGGTGCACAAGAAGAAGAGGATCGTTGTGAGAGGCAAAGCAGTTTGGGTAAAACCTCACTATACCAAAACCCGGACACACAAGCTGCCCACCGGGAAGACAGTGACAGTGAAAGCTGGCACTCAAACTATTGACCGGTTTTGGGGACATCTACGGTCATGATTGAAATTCGCGGCCGGAAAGGTTGGCTCTGCTATTCTAGCTCGCAAGGTGCGCGCTGCACAGTGGACGTACTGGCACCGCACGCAAAACCTCTGGGCAGCCACAGGCCACATGCTCGAGGAGCTTCGTGGCTAGATTTGAACCTTCATGCTGTAGCGAAAACAATCTGCATCGTGCATTCCGGCTGCACTCTGCTCTATCACCAAGAACAGATGCCTCCTGTTGTCTAAATCAAAACTTCTCTTCTGAATTTATCTAATCTTCAACTGCCCAAACGTACATCAACCAAATCATGGCATGACAATTGAACCAATTAAATCTGTCCACACTTGTATTAACTGTAGCTGCCGTGTTTTACCCTGCAAACTTTAAAATTTATTCCTAATTTTTCTGTCAAAACTCTCTTTGGGCACGGGGGGTCGGGGTGGGGGGGGCTGAACATATATATATATATACAGTATGTGACGTGTGCAAAGACTGAGAGTAGGTTGGAGCTTCGTTCAACATAAAGAGATCTCACTCTCAACCTCTCAACCCAATGGTCCTCAAATGGGCAGAATTTGGAGACGGGACCCTGGGCCTGGACGCGACCTACGTCGCCGTGCGTCGCCACGTCCCCAGCAGGCGCGGTAGCTTGGCCATCGTCTCCTTGGAGGAAGAGATGGAGGAGATGAAGGGGACGACGATCGTCAAGGGCAGTGTTCATGTCATGTCACTGCATAGTTTGCAGAGAACACAGTAGAACACACATGTTTTTTTCATGAAGGATCAAAAGATGGGCGCGAGCTTGCGATGAGCTTAAGGATGAACTTGTGGAGTTTGTTTTCAGACTACAGTTTGTCTTCAGGTCCCTTGCAGTTATAACCAGGCTGAGGTTGTTGCAGCTAACGGGTTCTGTAACGGTCCCGTTTTTATTTTTGTCCTTTCTTTGCCTTTGCGTACTTGTATACGCATGAACGTGATGTTGGACATACTTCGGGGACGAGTTCACACGCACTGTGCAGGGGTGTCTGGGTGGGTGGGTGGGTGGGGGGCTAATGATGTTCGGTGGGATATTCTTCGGGGATGTAACCATGTATTTTTTCACACAAGAGTGTGTCACACAAGGATATGCAGTTTGTAAAGAAATTGCAAGGTCGTGTGTCGAGCGGTTCTCGATTGAATGGAACCCAAGTATGCGACCGAATGTGGCGAGACCTCAAGCTGTTCAAGCCGAGAGAGCTGGCTTGGAAAGATGGCCAGAAACAATTGAACAAGCAGCTAAAAGTCTATGTATATGCCTTCCAGTGGCGTCGCAACCATAGAGGTTCGCTGTGGAAGGATACCGGAGCGTTGTCGAAGAAAGGTTGAAAGTAAGTTCGCTGCAAGCCCAAACATGCAGGCCGAGACATCGAAGCACAATGTAGATTCTTTAAAAAGCAGGGCCGAATTGGTAGAATACCACAAATTTTTGGGACGTGCATCAAGACAGAAAGCTCGGAAACACTGAGAAAACACAGGTGAAGCATTTCCAGACTCATGTCAAAAGCACAAAAAGCTGCGGGACCGTTGTGGAACCCGTTATCTTGCTACAAGCGAAGGTCTTGGTCAATGTTCACTGCGTGTTCATTGGGAGAATCCTGAAGTCTGGGAAAAGGCTTTAACTTAAACTCTTCAGTGCCAAAGCAGGGGAAACAAGGGCCCATAGAGGCGACACAGTATAGATGAACTAAGCCTGGTGGACTCTTCTAGTCATTTTCTAGGTGATCGTGCCTTACAGTTCGAAGAAGGCAGGTCCCCAGGTTCTTGAATAACATCAAATACTGAGAAAACCAACAAGCACCCAAAAGACTAAGCTATGATCAACTCCTCAATGGCCTTTGTTGGAACTTGGATGAATTTGGTGATTTGTGTCCTGTTCGTTGACTAGTGACTAGCCTACTTGCCCAGGTCAGAGGGCAACATGGCAATCATTCTTTCTGAGGTCCCTCAACAGATTGAAGAAACTTGAAACGGTGTCCACGGGTTGCCATGTGTTTAGGGATCCACTATCCAATGTGTTTTGGCTGGGGCACTGGGCCTCTACGAACCGCAGCCGGCAAGCGGTGCCATGTTATACTGTATGTTTTACAATTCGGTCCTCCAATAACGGTCACCTAATGGCCTAGTCTGGAACGTCTACTGGTTTATGTTTTGTGTGAGCCGTTTAGCCTGGCGCAGATTGGAGCAGAGCCTGGCGTGAGACCTCCATGATGGAACAAAACAAGACTGCAAATGTATAGTAAGGCATAGTAGTAAGGCTTTAGTATTGTTCGAAATCATTTGTGAATGTACGGCATTGTTCGATCATTGTTTGATGCACTTGGAATCCCTGCCCGCTCGTTTTGGCTCCTGCGGTTCAGGACAAAGGAGTCTTATGTATGAATTAACACAAGGTGGGTTACAGCAACCTTATATAGAGTGCGCTCAGACCGATGATGATGTGATCCAAACTGGCTCTACGGAGGCCATGGCTAGTCAAGCTTCAGCTCGCCCCCATGTGATAGTGAAAGATCATCCTCCAAATTCCCGAGATATGTCACCAAGACTGTGGGTCAACAGACTGTGGGTTAATGGGTCCCCAAGACCTCCCCTTTTTGGCGGGTCCAAAAGCATTAACAAGAAGATGAACAAGGAGATGATCCCTTATTCAATCACATTGTCAGGGCTGCGCAAGCCCGGGCCTCCACGGCCTTCAGGTGGCGACACACCGCAGGCGGAACGCGGAGCGCCTGCATGGACGCCATGTCTTGGGCTTTGACGGTGGCTCTTTGTTGGTTTCCGGTGCATGCCAAACTGACGCAGGCGATTCACATATATCTTTACACAAAAACAACCAGTTTTACAGATATTCATAGTCTATGTCAATAGTATACACAGTATGAAAGTCCATGCAACTGCAGCAGAAGAATGCCTAGGGAACAGCAAAGAAGCTTACTCAGCAGTTTGGCCTTCATGATGATCTTGGCGTGTATGCTTTGTGGATTGGACGTCAATTTTGGAGCTATATATATTCAATGTTACCTTTTTTGCAAAAATACGGTGGATTCCCCATAGGGTGTCTATTAAATTATCAGAAGCTTTCCACCGCTCGTTTCCTCGGAACTCTGCGTCGACTGGAGTCCGTGGGAGGCGGACTGGAGCGAGCTGGGCCGATGGCTTCTCTCGTTGAGGGAGTCGAAGCCAGTGGATTCGCAGAAGGAGGCGCGGGTGGAGGAAGAGACGCTTGGTGAGACGCCCGAACAACGAGCGTAGCGAGACGCTGGATGCTGGTTGTTTTTTTGATGTTTTTTGAATATCGAATGGTCCCTGTGCGACACCTGCAAACAAAATGGGCATTTCGATAGACTCACGTTGGTGGAGTTCGTCGCCAAGGGGCCGAAGGACCAGCAAAAACATGTGGGACTTCCTGAGTCTTGGCGTTTCTTGGGAGAGGGACATCTAGGCACTTATATATTATAACTATATTGTTGGATGTTGATGAACTCCATACGACGAAGAGGCTTTACAATCCAACAGGTGGCCACGGAACGAGCCGCTAGCCCAAGGATGCTGAAGCTTCGGCAGAGAAACTACAAGCTGTTCTGCCGCTGCCTCTCTCACCTGGACGCCTAGCGCAAAAGCACCGGTCCAAGACCCGTTTGTTCGAGTCCGAGACCGTATTTCTTTTTTTTTTACAATGTGTTAGACACTTTTAGCGGACTGAGCGGGGCATCTCACCCCAGTGGCTTTGTCAGCTTGCAGCACTTCAGGGGGGCCAAGTCTGGAGAGCCTCCCAGCACCATATTGTTGAAAAAAGAACAAACGAACAAACAAATTACACTGGGATGGCCTCCAACCTAATAGGAACGACCTCCAACCTACCAGTGATGGCCTCCACCATAATTGGGATGGCCTCCAACCTACTAGCGATGGCCTCCACTTATTGTCAAAAAAAACAAAACACAAACAAACACACTGAGTACGCCAATCCAATGAGTGCATTTTTCATGCGTTCCTTTTCCCTCAGGCGTTTTGGGAGATCCTAAGCAGAGACACACAGATACACGAAAACAGCCCGGGAGCCTTTTCCTGAGGACTTGCTCATCGGCCTGTTCCTTTTGCCCGGTGCGCTCGGAGCATTGAGATTGCTTAAATGACATTTTTTGAGTGCCCCAATGACGATAGAGGGAATTTCTAGTGATAGGGAATTGATTTGGCGCCGGCAGCTTGTATAAACCTTTTATTTGAAGGTAGCAGCTTGGACAGACATGAACTTACAGAACTTACAGTCATCGTTTTGTAGAATTGAGGTAGACCCTTCCAAAACAAATGTTCTCAATGGTTTGCACATGTTCCATGTTGTGTTTGCTTCAGGATGACTATACACTGGATGTTAAAATGTGTGTACTGTGTAATTCTGTATAATATACAAGATATACTGTACACGTAGTCAGTAGCATTAGTAGTCATTAAGCAAGGATGCTGAATGCTGAACAATAGAAAACTAACTAGGCTCCTTTTTTCCCATGGCTCCAAGTTCAAGTTTGCACATTCTTCCCACCCCCTAAACAATTAATTCAATTCACTTCCCCTGGGCTTTTGTACTACTGGAGCACTGATTCCGATGAGTTTCAACATGTTTCTTTTGAACATGGTTTTGAGGTCAGACTTGCAGGAATCAGGCAACGCCTCAGAAGAGGTCAGGCAAGGGTCTCAAAGTCAACTAGTAGCAAAGCAATATCAGTGAAAAAGCACATTCCACAGAATCACCCTGGGCGATGTTTTCTTCTTCCGACCCTGGGAAATTAATTCCGGGAACCCTTTTCATTAAATTAATTCCTCTACTATCCTGCTTTATTCTTCAAGATCCAACATGTTTAACAATGAAACTATAGACTACATGTCCCCCATCTCGCAGGATTGTTCAAGATCCCATAAAAAGGACTACACCGACTCCACGGAGTCTTGTCTCCTCAGCCCACTTTCAGGAACCCAAACTCTGACCAGTTGGATCTCCGTGAGCCTGGCGGCCATGAGCTACGCCACGCACCTCACCGTGGTGCAGGACATGGTGGATCTCACGCCTCGCTGGATGATGCCTGACATGACCTGATGGAACAACGTGTTGGGTTTCGACCGAAAGAAGTGATCACGGAACCGGTGTGACAACGCGACCCGACCAACAACGCGAAGAACGACCAAGAAACGGTCCAAGTTCGAATCTGTAGCATGTGTGACCCAGGTGTTGCAGGTGACGAAGACTGTATTTTGGCTGATGGCAAAATGCATCCATTCTTCAGACGTTCCTGTAAAAGGACGAAATCCAGAAAACAACTTGGGACGGGGTCCCAGAGGATTTCAAAGGTCCCTACTCTTTGCTGTACTATGACTTTTGTCTCCCAGTAAGTTTCAGGTTGAAAGTTGAAACACAGTGAGCTCGAGGGGAGCCTTTATTGTCAGACACCCAAATTTGGCTTGCACAGAATTATATATGAGTAAAGCATCTGCGGATATTCGTCCAAAGGTAGCCTTGTGTAACATGCAACACACCTGGAGTCTATTTTATGTGTTTTTTTGGCCTTTAGTGATTTGTATTGGACGTCGGCACATCACCAATGGAATTGGTGAACATCCTCCGAAAAGCAGTTCTGTGACCATTTGGTGCCA